ACGGTTCCCGGGTTGATCGGGCACTCCTAAACACCACATTTCCCTAAAGGCGGGGCCTTTGGGATTCAGTGCTGGGCTTCTCCCTGTTCGCTCGCAGCTACTAAGGGAATCCTTGTTAGTTTCTTTTCCTCCGCTTACTAATATGCTTAAATTCGGCGGGGAGTCCCACCTGATCTGAGGTCGAGATTTGTTCTTATTGTTATCTCTGCTGAGGGAAACGGAGAGTCCGTCCGGGGCGCCTGGACCCGAGGCCCCGCCGGGGTGGGCTTGGGAGGTTCCACAAAAACGCGCGAGCAACGGACCTGTTCACGGATTTTATCGTCAACGGTCGTGCTCGGCCAGACTGGGAACGACACTCCACAAGACCCCGACCCTTTGGGGGAACGGGGAGCCTGCCCCCCGGTCGTGCCGGGGAGAGGCTCATTTACACCCTTGGAGGCTTCCTTTCCGCTCGTGCAGCTTTGTCGGGAGGCGGGGGCCTACCTCTTGGTCCCTCCTCCTTTCGGAGGCGGCAAGAGAAGGCCCGCGGGCTCCCTCTCGTCCACAGCATCCGAACACCGGTCGAGGGGGCTCGACGCTCTCGCAAGAGTATCGAGACGGCCTCGAGGGCTCAGAGCGGGACAACCGTGGGCGAAACACAAGTGTCTCTTTTAAAAACGACCCTCAGACAGGGGTGGCCCTTGGTTCTAGCCCAGGGCCGCAATGTGCGTTCGAAATGTCGATGCTCATGTGTCCTGCAGTTCACACGACGACGCGCAGTTTGCTGCGTCTTTCATCGACCCACGAGCCGAGTGATCCACCGCTCAGGGTAGTCATTTCAGTTTGTTTTTGTTCTTGAACTTCTCGTGTATCAAAAATGTAATTGAACTTCTCGTGTATCGTTATTGTATAACGGGGCGAGGGCGGCCGGCCCCGCGGGGCTCGGTCCTTCCCTACCCTAGGTTTGGTCCTTTCACCATACTCTTGAGAGGCCCTGCTTTCGCGGTCCCTCCGCGCACTGAGCGTCGGGACTCAAGCCAGCATCGGCCTTCTTCAAATTCATCTTGTATACTTTTTAAATTCATCTATATACTCGGCCGTGCTCTATCCGCCCCTCTGCGCACTGAGCATCGGGAACAAGCCAGCACTGGCCGTTAACACTTTTCAAGTCTTTCGCTCGCTTTTTAAATTCATCTCGACTTATCTTATATACTCGGCCGTGCTCTATCCGCCCCTCTGCGCACTGAGCATCGGGGACAAGCCAAGTACTGTGCCTTAAGTGCGCCTCAACACTTATCAAATCTTTTTGAGCTTTCCTTTTTCTTTCTTGCCACCTACCCTTCCGGGCGTGACTTTTATC